GGGTAGCTGTGCATACATCTACTATAAAAGCACAAACCACTTGTTTGCAAGTGCATATGTGAAAGGTCGACAGGTGTAAGTGGAATGAGTACATAAAACGTGACTTCTAGTGTTTATAAAGTGGAAAGACATTTCCTCAGTATTCTGCATATGAAACCCAAAAGTTCTTGCATATTTAATCTAAAAACGACTTCCCTAATGATTTCTAACTTAGACAAATATCTCCATTCACACAACTCCTGATAACAGGTATGTTCAGAAGCACCTAAGTGACTTAGGAACCTAAGGTAAAATTTTCAGAGGTGCCTAAAGTCCCAGAGACATAGGATCTCTAAAGCCTAAATCACTTTTGAAAATTTGACCCAACATCTCTGATAGCTAAGGGTGAAATTTGCCCTGTACAAATGATCTACACAAGGCTTTATGCACCACTATAGCCCCACTTTTCAGGCCAGTTAGGGCACAACCGTGGACAGGTGTGATTCATACTTGTGCTACTCCAGGGGTAGTTTGGGAGGGGTTTGGTCTCCCTGGGGAGTGCATTCACCACACCATCTTTTAGGACTGTAAATTGTATGACCACCACTGTGGCAACTGTTGGAGTGAGTATATGGCCATGATCTTGTGCAGGTGTGAATTTCGCCCAAAGGCTTCCATCTTCGACAACCTTGTGTTCAAATCCAAGTTTGTGGAGAGATCTGTGTATGATGGGGCAGATAAATCTTATCAAATTCCTTCAGACCCACATATGCATCCCCATTGTGCTGATGTAGCTGAGGGTAGACAATGACATTGGATAGAAAAACCTACTTTTCCCCCAACATGTAGTCAGGTGTTCAACCAACAGATAGCTCAGTACCTGGGATTATAAGGAAAACTGGTTTGTTTGATCAGAGAACCTCTTCTTGGGTTGCAAACACTAAACACCCTAGTCATTTCACTACTGTCTTAAGGCATCCTCATTAAATACTGATCTGGATTTAAGCAGATTTTCAAGTGTGGAAGAATCCTGAATGCATCAGTTAAGGTCTTTAGCCCAGGTGATATACCTCAATGAGGTCAATTTTCAAAGATAACTGTGTGAAGAACCATCTGAAGGATTTTTCCCTTAATTCCGTAATACATTTTCTATTACAGTTATTATAACCTTTATGCAGGGTATGAAGCTCAATTTGTCCTATATCAGTTGACGTGGGGAGGGTGTTAATAAATGAGCCATTTTTCCCCAAGACCAAAGCTACTCACTTTCTTAGGCAAGTGGTTTGCTTTCTTAAGCGTGTAGAAAAGGACATACCCATATTTCATACCCATAAATACGGTTACATGAATCATGCCCTGATTCCGGGGTTCTCAATTTTTTTCTTTCTGAGGCCCCCTCAACATGCTATTATGGCACGGCCCACCTGTGCCACAATAACTGGTTTTCTGTAAATAAAAGCCAGGGCCAGCGTTAGTGGGTAGCAAGCAGGGTAACTGCCTGGGGCCCCATGCCACAGGGGGCCTCATGACGCTAAGTTGCTCTAGCTTTGGCTTCAGTCCCAGCCCCAGGTGGCTGGGCTCAGCGCCCTGGACTTTAGCCCCATGCAGTGGGGCTTCAGCTTTCTGCCCTCGGCCCCAATGAGTCTGATGCTGGCTCTGCTTAGAGGCCCCCCTGAAACCTGCTTGTGGCCCCCCAGGGAGCACTGGTTGAGAACCACTGCCCTGATTTAGAAAGAACACTAACTTTTAAGATGGCAACTGCAAATGTTTATTAACTACCTTTTGAAAGAGATTAGCATCATGAGCTCTGAATAAAAGGAAAACTGTTACAATCACACTTTCTCTTAGTTATAATGCATCAAAAGCCCTTTATAATTCTACTAAACTACTATGAACAGAAATGGGGAAAAAAACTGAAGAGTTTGTCTGAACATATATATCCCTATGTGGCATAGTTTTATAGCGTATATTAACACGGGTTCATGCTGTGGTCATACAGTGCAGAGGGGTCACTTATCAGATTGTGCACTGAAAACAATATAAACACAATTTGGGGAATCAGTACATAAAAGAGAGAGGGGAACAATGAAAAATGTAAAATGAGAGAAAAAAGAAAAGTGGAGCATTCCCTGAACACATGTTTCTGACGTCCTAAACCAAGTTCATGGTTGGACCCAGGTATACGACTGGGTACATGGACAATAAAGTTAGGTAACATTTGCAATTACCTAACATTGAAAAAGCTATAATATCAAAAAATATAGTTACACTCAGAATTCTTTCCCAATGTCACCTGCTCAAACTTGGTAAATATGTCTCTTGTTCAGATGAAGCATTCTAGAGTGGGCTTCAGTTTCAGAAAAATCCATTCATACATTTTTGAGTTACATCAGGAGGAATAGAATATATTTTCCAATCATAAAGACAGAAAAAATAAATTTCATGTTCTTTAAACTTGCTTAACTAAATTATGGCCAGCCTTTACATACTGACCTTTCCAGGCGGCTAGTCCTGAATGAGGACTAATGTGCAGGCTAATTTACAAAGAAAGGAAATGTACTTCACTGCTCACACCTATTTTTTTTTATAACGATCTGAATCAAGACACGGAATTGGAACATACCTAACCTTTGTGGAAGTCCAGATTCAGATAACATTTGAAATGAGCTCTGCAGGTTGGTCCTAGATCTACTATGGTTATTTTGAACTTATAACGTAAAGGGGTAGCTTTT